TCTCTTGCTCCATTCCTGCCTGGCTATCCATGACTCCTTCCTATCCTGTAAATTGATTTTTGCTGCATGATGTTGGTTGTTGGTGCCTCTGGCCCAATGTCATGGTGTGTGGGCGCCAGATAACTCCTCTTCCAGAAGTAGTGACTGCAACATGCCAAGCAGTAGTCATACCACAAAACTGCTCACCTGTGACTTTGGATTGCCAACTTTCTGGGGTGTAGCCGGGCAGAGGAGAGCAGGGGAAACAAGAGATGGGAGGAATTGATTTTAGAGAATAATCTGTCATTTATTTAGATTGCAGTAGTACCTGCAATGTGCTGGGTGCTTTGCAAAGGAAAACACTCTCCCTTCCCTGAAAAGTTAGCAGTCCAAAACTATACAAACAATGTAAGCAGCGTGGGATAGGACAACAGTTTGCAACAGAGGTGGGCAACCTGTGACCCACAGGCCGCATACAGCCCATCAGGGTTTTGTTTGGCCTGCAAGATATTTTGTTTACTGTTGTCCACATGCAGGGTTGCCAGATTCTGCTGGTTTCCATTCATGCAGTTTTTTTTTCCCTGCATCCATTTACACACGTAAAGCAAGGGCACATGAAGCAAGGTGTATGCTGATTGCACACAACACTGACTGTGAGAACCAGGGATGTTAATATTTTGATTAACCAGCTAATGGAATTTCCATCAACTACTCAATTAGTTGAGATAGGGGAGGGGGTGCTCGCTATCCCCACTGGGCCTCTGCCTTTGAAATGTAGCAAGAGCTACCAGTGCTGCTTGTGCCGGATCTGACCGCTGCACCTCTGCCTCCCCTATCTGTCCCTCCCCACACCGCAGAGACGGTTTTAAGCTGGCTCCTTTTAAGCTGGCTCCCCTCCAGCACCAGCTTCTGCTTCCTGCACCCTTGCAACCTCTGATATAGAGGCAGTGCGGGAGGGAGGGGGGATGCAAATAGTCAAGTTGACTACCCGATAAGGCCAGGCTTATTGGGTAGTCGACTATTCGGCTACTCTTTTACATGCCTAGTGAGAACCACGTGCTCCTTCTGCACTTAGTCAAAGCACTGCTATGGTTCAATCTGCACACCCTGCAAATTCTAGGTACGCAAGTGAAGTTAGCAAAATTACCCTGTCCCAGGAGATTGTCTTGGTTATGACCAGGGCTCAACAAACTATACAATCTACTCGCCCATGGGTGAGTAGATTTCAGCCACGCGCCCCGTTCATTGGTGGTGTGTGCATGCTCAATGCGGCTCTTGCGCATGCACAGTGCAGGGCTGGCGAGCGGTTTTCGCTGCCGTTTGTCAAGCCCTGGTTATGACAATTTTGCAGCCCGTTGTGATGAAGAAGGGTTGCTCATAAGGTCCACTCTGTAGCCTAGATTGCCCCTCGCTGGCTTACAAGAATCATTACAGTTGTTTTTTAAAATAAACAAACCAAATTCCCCCATGTCAGCTTCCCTTCCAAATCCAACCCTTATGCATTCCTCCCATACCAATTCCCAGTTCCAGTTTCAGTGTGCAAATACCCCTTCGTGCCCACATTCAGCCTCCTTCTCACCATGTATGTGAGCAGTTTACCCTGCGACAAATCAGTGATTCAGAAAAGCAGATGATTTACTATCCCAAACAGAGCTTTTTCCAACCAATAAAAGAAAAGAACAGGAGATGAAATGAAACCTAGGAAGGGACTTCTCTATTACCAAGCTCTCTTCCGCGGAACATGTGGGGGAGAGAGATTGTGTCAGTTAGGCTATGTCTAGACTGTAGGCTTCTTTCTGAAGAAGCTTTTCCGGAAGAGATCTTCTGAAAAAAGTCTTCTTTCAAAAGAGAGTGTTCACACTATAAAAGCGCATCGAAAAAGTGATCTGCTTTTAGAAAAGATAGCGTCCATACTGAATGGACGGTCTCTTGAATGGAAGCTGTGATTACTATGGATGGAGTGGCCACCAGGACACCTGTGCTTTTTCCTCTTTCCTTTCTTTCAAAAGAACTCCCTCTTCCCCGTCTACACACCCCTTTTTACAAAAGAGCTCTTTCAGAAAAAGACTTCTTCCTCGTAGAAAGAGGATTACCAATGTCGGAAAAACCCCTCTGTTCTTTCGATTCTCTTTTAGAAGAACGCGATTGCAGAGTGGACATAATTGAAGTTTTTTCAGAAAAATGGCCACTTTTCCAAAAAAAAGTCTGCAGTGTAGACATTAGCTTCTTTCTTTGTAGGCATAGCAGACATAGTGGCTACGTCTAGACTGGCATGATTTTCTGGAAATGCTTTTAACGGAAAAGTTTTCCGTTAAAAGCATTTTCGGAACAAAGCGTCTAGATTGGCACGGACGCTTTTCCGCAAAAGCATTTTTTGCAGAAAAGCGTCCGTGCCAATCTAGACGTGCTTTTCCGCAAAAAAGCCCCGATTGCCATTTGCGCAAAAGTTTTGCGCAAAAGGACTTTTGCCCGAATGGGAGCAGCATAGTATTTCCGCAAAAATACTGACAATCTTACATGAGATCGTCAGTGCTTTTGCGGAAATTCAAAGGCCAGTGTAGACAGCTGGCAAGTTTTTCCGGAAAACCGGCCAGTCTAGACACAGCCAGTGGATGTCCAGGAGCACTATACATGAGAAGATAGTGGTTTTGTGGACCTGGCTCATGGCGGGCGTTCCTTGTATAGGGGATGGTGTGGAAGAAACTCTGAGATGTAGGTGAGAGGGGCAGTCATTTCTAGGGCTGATGGTACTGAGGTCAGATGATGAGAGTGGCTATGTCTTGGATTGGGCCAGAAGGGCACAATGTAGGTGTCAGGCTGGCCAGGGAGAAAGAGGTTACTGTTACCCAGAGAGATGAGGAGGGCCTGGACAAGCTCAGATCTGAGAAATCCGTGTGCCTTTGCCTGGCTGTGTGGGCTGAGAGAGACGCGTTGGCAGGTGGGGAATAAATGACAACACCCTGCACTTCCATTTTCACGTTCATCTGAGGCACTCAGCAGGGCACTTCAGGTCCACCAGAGGTGCTTTGCAAACATTAAGGCTATCTCCACACTACCAAGTTATTTCGAAATAAGCTATTTCAAAATAATAACTCCTGAAATAACTATTTTGAAATAAGTTTATTCCTCTTCACAAGCGGGAGTTATTATTTCAAAATAACAAGCCCTTTATTTTGAAATGACAGGCTTGGTAGTGTGGACACTCACCTTGTTATTTTGAAATAGGGGTTATTTCACAATAACTCCCTAGTGTAGACATGCCTTAAGGAAGCCTTAAGACATCCCTGTGAGGTGAGTACTGTTAGCCCCATTTTTAGCTGAACTTGCAACGCCCCCAGTGTTGGTCCTCTCTGTCTGTCTGTCTGTCTATCTATATCATGATAATTTGGATTACTGCATTCAATTGCTTTCCAAGTGTCAGGAATTTGCTAGAGAGAGAAGCACATTCAATTGCTTTCCAAGTGTCAGGAATGTGCTAGAGAGAGAAGCAGGTGAGGTAATATCTGTCATTGGACCAACTCCTCACGTTGGCTCCATCATAGCCTGAGGGTGAGGTAATATCTGTTATTGGACCAACTCCTCACGTTGTCTCCATCATAGCCTGAGGGTAACATGGCTAAAACAACACTGCATATAACAGGGCATGTTCAGGGGCGGCCCTAGACTAGCTGCCAGCAACTGGCACCGTAGGCGAACCACGCAATCGGCACCCCCACCTCCAAACCCCTCAATGATATTGCGCCACCATTTGGCGCCCCATTTTACTTGGGGCCCTAGGTGACCACCTAGTTCGCCTATATGGACGGGCTGCCCCTGGGCGTGTTCTAGGCATCAATGACCACACAATCCTATTGACTTGGTTGAAAAAGAGAAAAACCAAAAGCAACCTCTGTGTTAGCTGATGGCAGCCATTAACCCCTCCCAGCATAACCATACCCCTCCTCTCAGCTCTGTCCATTGCCCCAGTGCAGTATAAAAAAGAGAAAAAAAGGGGAATACTGTCTTTACAGCCATGCATATTGGGATAACTCATGCATCTCTGGGGTGTGAAAAACACTTTCTCCTGACAGAAGTTACACCAACATAAGCCCCAGTGTGGACAGCTCTATGTCAGTGGTGGAGCATCTCTTGCCAACATAGCTACCATGGCTTTCTGGGGGCAGGGAGTGGAGTCATTATGTTGACAAGGGAGCTCTCTCCTGTTGGCACACAGTGGCTCTAAGGGAGATCGCCCAGTGGTGTAGCTGCACTGGTACAGCTGAGCAATTGCTCTCCAGTGTCGCCATGGAGGGTAAGGAAAGTCCCTGAAATAGAGGGGGGATCAGAGGGTGACACAGGGAGTCTGTGGGGGGAAGATACAGATACAAGGAGTTACTGGGGTGCAGTGAGCTGAGCCTATGCAAGCTACAAAGTGTGTGACCCCTTAGAGATGGAAGAAGAAGCACTGAAAGGTTAAGTGACTTGCCCAGAGTCTGTGAATGAGCAAGGAATAGAAGCTGGATTTCTGGATTCTCACACCCCTGCTCTAATCACAGTCTCAATCTCTTTTCAGAAGAACAAGAACAGTAGAGGCTAAATGACAGCTGAGGGCAGCGGTGGCTACAGAGAGAGGGTGTTATCTTTAGGTAGGAGTAGGACCGCATTTTCAATGTGTCCCCTTCATTGTCGGGTACCCAGAATTAGGAGACACTTGAAAATTTAGATCTACATATTAAAAACCATCAGGCTAAACCCACAAGACCATCTCGCAGCAGGAAACACAGAGCGAACATGCATTGCTGAGAGCCAGCTTCCAATGTGACGTTGAAGGGGCTGATTCTGGGGACACTTCTAAGTCAAAGGGAAGGGGGCCAGTCTTGGGGCCACAGATGCAAGGAGACAGAGATTTTCCCTCTGGTCCCCGCTGCACATGCTATACACACTACGGACCCACCTCTCCTGGAGCTCCCAGGATGCAATGGTGTATAACATGGAGTCAGACTCTGAAAGTTAACCATCCAGTAGGGGCTGTAAAGCTCACACCTGTAACCTAACTCATGCCCAGCAAGGAGCCAGTGAAACAAATATCCGAGTCCCACCCCCAGCACCAGAGAGGGGCAGAGGGAGATTAACAGTGCTGCTGCATCAAAGAGGTTACAGCAGACAACAAGACCGGGGCAGCTATGTCTGAGCTGGTGCCGGAGCCTCGGCAAAAGCCAGCAGTGCCAATGAAACCTGTTGGCATCAACTCCAACCTGCTGGGCTATATTGGAATTGACACCATCATTGAGCAGATGCGCAAGAAGACCATGAAGACGGGCTTTGACTTCAACGTCATGGTTGTGGGTAGGTAAAAGGGGTCATTCAGGCCTAAGGGGCCTTTGGGGGGACATAGAGAGAAGCTTTGCAGGGCTTTGACTTCAACGTCATGGTTGTGGGTAGGTAAAAGGGGTCATCCAGGCCTAAGGAGCCTTTGAGGGGACATAGAGAGAAGCTTTGCAGAGCTTTGACTTCAACCTCACAGGCGTAGGTACAAGGGGTTATAAGGAGACAGGAGATCATCATTGGGAATATGGGTGAAAGACAGATGCTTTAATATCAGGCCACGTAGGCACTGACTCTGAGGGTTCCTCAGAGCTCAAGCACCCACTGAGCACCTGCATGGATGGATTAGTGCTTTGTGACCCTTGTGTCCGGGCCAGGGTCCCACTCATTAGTCCACCTATGCTCTGCTCTGAGGCCCTGCCCCCACTTGTTCTCTTTTCTTCAAGGCTTTTTCCATGCTCCAACTTGAGGCCCCACCCTTGCTCAGCCTCATCACCCCAAAACCCCACCCACTGCTCGCATAGAGGAGAGGGGCCAGAGAGGAGCATCCGCTGACTCAGTGTCTGTGTCAGGCCAAGCCTAGTTCTAGTAAATCCCTGATTCCTGTCCCTGTGATTTCCCTGAAGGGACGAGCAAGGGATTCCTCACATCCAACCTGGCACATTCCCTGGGTTTAAATTCTTGAGCCTGTTGTCAGAGCACAGTTGTGGTAAATGCTCCATTCTTCCCCTTTACGTTTCTCAGGTCAAAGCGGGCTGGGTAAATCAACACTGGTGAATACCCTCTTCAAATCGCAAGTTAGCCGCAAGTCTTCTGGCTGGAATCGTGAGGAGAAGATCCCTAAGACAGTGGAGATCAAGGCCATTGGGCATGGTAAGAGGCAGGAAGTGTACATCCTGAGGACCATAGTCATTGTTTTTTCTGTTTTTTTCCATATATGTTGTCAAGGCTGTTCCCCACTCTGGCACTCCGAGTGCAGATGGTGGGGGCCCACAAGAGACCTCAAAAAGTACCTTGCCTCTATAGGCTTTTGTTTTTAAAAAACTCCCAAGGTCAAAGATTCCCTTACCCTGGGGGAGAGGTTGCCACCGCCAAGTAACAAAACCCCTTTTTTCTTGAATCTAGAAAGAAAGCACTTGGAACTTCTTCCAGAGAGGCACCCCAAGCTCTTTTACCACAAGAGAGCTTGAAAAAAACCCAAGAAAACAAACTGTAATCTCTGATAGCTGACCTCTCTGACTTAGGTATGCATACACAGACCTATTACCTTCCAGGACACAAGCATCAAATCATAGCCTTAAAAAAAGGTGTTTTTATTAACAAAACAAAAAGATATACTTGATAAAGCATATTTGTTTGCTAAGTGTTTTAAAGCAAATGAGAAAAGAACAAATTAAAACATAGAGAAATTCATCCCTGGGATAGAGCTTAAAGTTACAGCATATGGGGGAGGGGCACAAGGACTTGGCACAGAGAAGTTTAACCAAACAACAAAACAAAGACAATAACCTGATTGCGTCTAAATAGACATTCCATATCTATCCACATATCCCTGCTTCAAGGTCCAGTCCATTTTCATGCCCATTTCATGCCTGGATCGATTCATCTTGTTGCCCTAGCTCCTGGCTTAAACTCACACAAATTAAAACAGCATGCAGTATCCCTTTCAATTCAAATTTCAATACTTTCTTCTCATTGGTTCCCCTGGCTCCCTGCCAATGCTTTCTAGCTACCTGGGTTTAACCCTTTGGTTACTGAATGCTGGGATGTTCAGAAAAGGAAAACACTCCTCCTATCCATCACACATGTGCAGAATAAATTTTGTTAGGTGCACAGAGGCATGTGTGGTTGTGCACCATCAATGGAAACACATGCTGCTGGCTATGGGTGCTGTGGGCATTCTGCTAATCAGATGGGTGGCATCTGGATCTTTCCTACAGAGCTGCCCAAGCACACAGCTTATTGGCTGAAAGAGTATAGGAGGTGCTGATGTCTTAGAACTGTGCTGTCACTGACCTGTTACTAGGGCTGGTGGGAAAACCAGAATTCAAGGTTTTGTTCCACATCAAGATGTAACTGAGATCTCTTGAAATTTCTGAGAGAGAGACCCTAACCCACTCCAGGCTAGCCAGTAGCCTGGTCGTTAGGGCACTCATCTGGGAAGTGGGAGACCCAGGTTCAAAATCGCTGCTCTGAAGGAGGCACACATTGTCCTGGGTGACCCAAGGCAGAATCTCCTCCTTCTGTGGCAATGGAGGGGGCAGAATGTTACCGTTCCTACAAGTGTCACAAGAGTGTATTCTGAGAGGCTGATCTCGAGGGAAGGGGATTGTGAGACCCTTTCTGCTTCCTTCCACAGTCATTGAAGAAGGTGGTGTCAAGATGAAACTGACAGTAATTGACACCCCTGGATTTGGTGACCAGATCAACAATGAGAACTGGTGAGTGTCTGTCCCCACCCATCTCCCCAGCTATTTGCTCTTGGGTAGCTGACTTACCCATAGGGCTGGGGATACAAAAAGGTCAACACCCAGCAGGGCCAATATGCAGTCCACCCCTGGAACACAGGACCAGCTCACTAACAGGCTATCCTGTCCCAGGCTGAGTCATTGCCACAAGAGGGGATGTTGGTGTTCCTTCTGAATCAGTTCTCAACTAATCCCCAGCATGGGGCCGGGTGCTCTGTGGCTCAGAGTTTTGCCTTTCATACAGGCCGTAAGGACACATGTACTCATTATGGATCCGAGTGTAAATCTGAGGAGAATAAAGGTGTTAGTAGCAACATCTTGCCAAACTCCAATCTGGATAATGGCATGCTGCCTCCCTAAAAGTCACCCTGGGGTGACAGTCTTCACTTCCTGGCTTAAGGCCTGACCCAAAGCCCACTGAAAGCAAAGGAAAAAATCCTATTCCCCTCTAATAGCCTTTGGATCAGGCCTGTAAACTCTTGTGAGGTGTTGCTGTAAAGCTGCCTGCTCTAGAGGTGGCTGCACATGAGTGGCAGGTGAAGTGATTCTTATCTACACAGCTTATAAAGTGCTTGGGATCCTACTAAATGAAAGAGGCTCAGGAAATGTAAAATCCTTATCATTAGTTTGCGCCATGCTTGCAATCCCCTGCTTCCTCCGCCCCAAAATTCAGCCATTCTGCCTGGTTTGGATCAGAGCAAAACACATTTCAAAGTTGCAGGGGCCCTCACAGAGAACGCCCTGCCAGCAGCCCCTTTCCACACATGCCACAGGGGTCTCTGCTGGTCAATAACCCTGGTAGGATGTGATTAGGCTAGTCTAGATGACACCCTTCCACCCTGTAATGTAAACCCTCTTGGCTCCTGTGAGTATGAAGCATGAGGTAGTCAGGTGCCCTGCACAGTCCTTACCTATACACAGAATATGCAGCTGTAGGGCACCCAAACATTTGGGACACCACTGGGTCTTAATGTCCACCCACCTGCCTCTTCCTATCCCTGTTTTAAAGTGTAAAATTAGTTTAAAATTTGTTTTGAGACTATTTCATTAGTGTGTTGCTGAAGATTATAACATCACCTCTCTAAAAAATTGTCCCCCTCCCAGCTGCCACTGGTCATAGGGGCACCAGTTTAATAGTACTGCGTAGGGCCCCCTACATCTTAAGGACAGCCCTGAATGTGCCTCTCTCTCTTTGTCTCTGACCTCCACAGCTGGGAGCCCATTGAGAAATACATCAACGAGCAATATGAGAAATTCCTAAAAGAGGAAGTGAATATCGCAAGGAAGAAGCGAATTCCAGACACGCGAGTCCACTGCTGCCTCTACTTCATCTCCCCCACGGGTCACTCGTACGTACCCCGCTGCCAGTAGCTTCCTCTCTCCCACGGATTGCTTACTTGCGTCCTGTCTCATCTCATGGGGCCTCTATTTTAGCTCCCCCTATGGTTCAGTCATATGTAGCTCACTGCTCCCTCTAGTGTCCTCCACAAGTCTCTCCCATGTATCCTAGTCCGTTCAGCACTTCCCTTTATGTTCCACTCTGCCTCTTTCATCTCTCCCACCATGGGTCATGCACCGGGCTCCCACTGTAGCTTAGCTTTCCTGTGCTGGGATGGAGGGAGGAAGAGAAGAGGTAATGGGAGAGATCTCTTGGGGGAAATGCAGGCAAACTCTCCCTTATCCTTCTGGACTCTGAGAGAGGGGAGAGGTGAGCCAGTGTTAAAGGCGACGGGGTAAAAAGGCTCTCACTGACTCCTTTTTCCTGCCTGCAGCTTGCGACCTTTGGACCTAGAGTTCATGAAACATCTCAGCAAAGTAGTAAATATCATCCCTGTTATTGCCAAGGCAGACACCATGACCCTGGAAGAGAAGACCGAGTTCAAACAAAGGGTGAGTACCACCAAGCCTGCATGGACTGATGCTTATTCATCCTCCCCTGTCCCAGCAGGAAGATGGGAGTGGTGGGCTGTATCCTTCAGATGGGGATTATACTGGTTTGACCACTCCACTATTCTGCCATTTCCCTTCATGGCTCAGATCAGCACTCAGCTGCTGCCATGCAGTAGATCAATATTGGATTCTTCTCCCCAGATAGAATCCAGCTACATGTGACCTTAAAATAGGACCTGGCACTGCATCAATGTGGGACATGGATCTGGGCGTGCTCATCTGGCAGACAGTTGCCTAAATCATTTGGACTAATATGGGGAAGGCCATTTTTCCAGCGGGTAGGAAATCACAGCAATTCAGCTCTGTCCCAGGTCACTGTGCATTCCTTACAATATGGCCTTTCCAAAATGTGCATGCCCTTTAAATGAGCCTTCATAAAACATGTGCCCACAGTGGGTCATCACTGACATTGTCATGTATCTGTGCTAGTGAACCCCACTGCTCAGCGCAGACTGGAGAACACGTCGGGAGCGTAAACTAATGAACAGAGTGCAAGTATCCTGAAAGAGCAGCTATTTTCATGTGCAAGTCTCTCACAGGGCCTCTCTCATCACTGCGGCAAGAGTTTCACACCTGTGACCTGCCAAGACATCTTTCTGCTGACCCCTGGCCTACTCCTGGGTTATTTAATCCTTCATGGCTCTAACTGCTGGGTCCAGTGAATAAAGTCCAATCTTTTGCCCACACTGCTGTGTGTCACAGCTGTATCACACACTCCTCCATTATTCCTTGCAGGCATCTTCCCCAAAGACTGTTGGAGCAGCAATATTCTACTACTGCATCCCGCTGTCTGCCATAATTCAATGCTTGAATTACTTTTCACTTTCCAATGTTTCCCTGCCCAGGTGCGCAAAGAATTGGAGGTGAATGGGATCGAGTTTTACCCCCAGAAAGAGTTTGATGAGGACCTGGAAGATAAAACAGAGAATGACAAAATCAGGGTAGGACCCACCGTCTCATGAAAGAGCACTGAGGCATGGGTAGATTTCACTAAGTGCAGAATGGAGACAAATCACTCTAGTTTTCAAAATGCTTTGAGATCCTTGGATGAAATATGCTATAATGCAAAGTAGTATGATTACTGTTTGTATCCCCAGTAGGGAGGATGGGATCTTTTATCCTAATTAAATTTGCATTGTCTCCATTCATTGTCACCCCAGAGTGCTGTGATTGCTGAATTTACGAGGTCTGTTTGTTTTCACTTCATGTTGCTGGAAATTGGGTTTGGGCTGGGAGCTTCCCATGTGAGCTGTTGCTATTTAAGACCCAGCTTGTTCTCTGCTTGACCCCTCAAACTCTTATTGCTGGTAGTCTCCTAAGTAAAACTTGGATCGTATTTCTCCTTCTCGTCAATCACCCATCTCCTGTACAAATGCTGGGGATCTCTGCAGACCAGCCTTGGAACATGGATCAAAGAAATGTTGGGCTTTTCCTTTTAGGGGTTTATTCATTTTATTTGGGAGGAGGGGATTTTTTAGCAATTTTTGAGCTTTATGTAGCTGTCCAAAATCAGCTATTTTCAGGACTTTGTATATGCTTAGGCTTTGCAGAATTTGATTTTTGTTTGTTTGTAATGTTGATGGAAAATAACCCATGGAACCCACTGAATCATTGGGAATCACAGCCGGCTCGGCTATGGCAACAGGTGTAAACAACTGTCTAGGGATAGTGTCAGATTTTGCTGCGGCCAGTCACTGGATTGTCAATGGCAATGAGTGCCTCTTACCCCGCCGAAGGCTGTATGCTGCAGGGAGGAGGGTAACACGGGGAAGGGCGGAGACAAAGTAGGAATACTGCTGCCCATATCTCATTATTGTCCAGTGCCCAGAGGAGCAGATTGATTAGGCCTGTCTACTTGTCTATCTCCAGCAGGAGAGCATGCCGTTTGCAGTGGTGGGCAGTGATAAGGAATACCAAGTAAATGGCAAAAGAATCCTGGGCAGGAAAACTCCTTGGGGCGTCATTGAAGGTAAACAGATCCATCTTTTCGAGATGGATGTATCCACCTAGGCTCAGGCACTTGAAGCTCCAGGTACAATGCAGACCATGTCCCCCACACCTGCAATTATATTTTCATAATTAAAAAAAAAAAGATATTTTCAAGTACCTCTACTAAGGGGAATTGGCACTACCACTGTGGCATTGCCAACTGGCTGGGATCTGCTGCCACTTTAGAATGTGGAAGATGTCAAATTGAGGCCTGTGAGGTCACCTTATTTTTCAACTGAAACCTTCCTCGTGGTTTTAAGACTTGACAAAGCCCAATGGACTGCATGTGAGCCACACACAGGAGTGGCCCGAGGCAGGCTGGCGCCCCTGGCAGAACGTGTGATCGGCACCCCTGCCTGCATGGCCGTCAATGGAGTGACATCATCATTGGGTGCCCCAGGCGCCCCATGACGTCATCATCTAGCGCCATTGAAGGCGGTGCCCTAGGCGACAACTGAGTCGGCCTATAGTCACAGGCCGCCCCTGGCCACACATGCCTCCATGTGCTGTTTGAACTATAAAATCTGTGTCCATTTGCCCACCACCTTGACACCCGCCCCAGGAGCTGTACTAATGAAGGTTTTTTTAACACCACACTCCCCAACTTTCTCTGTTTACAGTGGAAAACCTCAGTCACTGCGAATTTGCGCTACTTCGAGACTTTGTCATCAGGTGAGGTCAGCGGTTAAGCAATCGTTTATTCCTGATGAGATGGGCTACAGTACTTACTGAACGGACTTTCTGATAAAATTTCCTAGTGACGAGAGCCATGATAACGGAATAGTCTCCAAGGGAAGGGATAAAAGTCACATTTCTTCAGACAATCAAAGTTGGGCTGAATACTATAGGGAACAATTTTATTTTAATAAATGGGCAGGGCAACCTAGTTAATCTTTAATGCTTATAATTGCTATGCCAACAAGGGGTTAAGTTGTGATGGTGGCTGGCCTATGTGACAAAGAACTCGGGTGACACCCTCCCCTATGCCCCACTCTACATACACACAATAGATGGGAACACCTAGAGCTGGGTTAGAATCAGTGACAAAGGGGGAAAGATTCTTCAACCCATTCCTAAATCCCAGCCCGTATAATCCTCCTGATTGGGAGATGAATTAAAACTGGTGACCAAGGGATAAAAATCTCCAGATCCCCCATCTCCAGTCCACCTTCTCCCAAGTTTATGTATGGATAGAAGCCCTCTCAGGGGACCGGACATCTGTCCTAAATTCTGTGGGCAAGTCCCATAGTTTGAAGGCAATCCGTGTGTCCTAGGAACAAGCTAGGTTTTCAAAGAAGCCCAATGTAAATACACATTGAAGTTAAAAACCAGTCCCAGTGCACTGCCTGTTGTGGTATTTTAGCCTCTGGGTGTGATGAAATGTCAGATTGTGACTGTGTCACAGTGACCTCACAATACTTTATTTTTTGGCCTGCACAACAAATATCTAATGTTGGCACCGCCTGTCTGTCACTGTTGTGCTTCCCCTAATCTTTCCATGAAAGGTTGTCATTAAACAATGATGGCTAAAGTCCAAATGTTTTCTGGTGGCTAGTGACTGGTTGGGAGGAGCTGGGAAGGCTGGTGCTGGTAGCACATTTACTGTGAGCTTCAGTGCATAACTGGCCAATTGCTTTGAGGAAATTTTATCTTCTTTGACGCAGCACGTACTAGCCACTGTTGTAAGACGTGATCAATCAGATATTTTAACTGGTACAGCAGGAAGCGGAATAGCTGACTGAATGGACCATTGCACACTGCACTGCACTGGCAAGGCCAAATATCTGAGCCAGCATGACATGTCCTGGGTGCTAATTTTATTTTGCTGACTGATGCAGTTTCAATTGTCTAATGCAGGGGTGGGAAACCTTTTATGGGTCAGGGGCCACTGACCACCAGAAAAATCAGTCGGGGGCCACACAGAAGCGAGAAGAAAAACAAACCTTCTCTAATGTGGCTCTCAGCTGAGGAGAAAAGTAATAAAGATGTAGAAAGACACTCCTCATATTCCCCTCCCACACCAGAACCTAGTGGGGGCAGCCTAGTAGATTTTGTGTGCTTCAGCCCCACAATGGGGAGGTGGGAGGATTGGGGC